TCCACAAGATCGTAGCCAGTGCGTCGCTAGGAGTGTTTAGATCTAATAAAAAAAAAAACTACTTCTATATTACTATATTACTTCAAATAATAATACTCGATGCCCTTTTTAATTTTTCAACCACAGGACAACCGATTTGTGATCTTGAAATGTTATATTATGTTGAAATAGTCCAAAAGAAAAATATATTTGTAATCAAACTATCGCCGCGACAGCACTGGTTTTAGCGTATGAGATACAATTCGGTGCGTTGAATATGACTAGAGCTGTGCGGTTGAAATTTATTTACCCCCACTATCGGCCCACAGTGCCGATCGCTACACAGCCTTGCCTTGCTCGCTTCTCGCTTTTCAGTTGTGGATTATTTTTGATAATTCACACAAATAGTTTTATTGTCAGCGAGACGGACACCTGAACATTATTAAATTTATGATTACTCTTATTTCGTGAATATGGATTTTAAAATCATCAACTGACATGCCGTTAACATTATTTTTCGCGTAATTTTCTTCGCGATACATAACGTCGGTTGCAAGCCTCTGGCCTGCCGGAGTGGGGGTCAATTCGCAGCGTTTAAATTTCAACCGCACAGCTCTAATTATGACATTATACAATGAAACGAATGGCACAAATTTGGGTTAAGTATAGATAACCGAACGGGGTTAATCAACGAGATTTCCTAGAATCGCTAGTACATCGCGGGCGCTATTTGATTGGCCAATCTAATACCCGAAACGATAGTTTCCTACCCTAGTACTACTTATCTGTACGCCAAGGTGTTCTTGGTTTCCTCCGGGGACGATCTCCTTGTCCTAGACCGGGTAGACTGATGAGGTTATGCTCGTGCGGAGCGCTGTGGCTTCGCTGCCTGTGTTTGCTACTCTCACGGTGGGTGTAGCGGGAACCAAATCTCGGGTCGTTGGGCCGTGGCAATCAAAAATATCTGCTTCGCCGATTCCAAAAAAACGGACCAAACGCAGGCGATAAGACGCCGAAATAAAAACCTGAACTGAACTATACGGAACTGGACTGGACTGGACTGAACTGGACTGGACTGAACTGGACTGGACTGAACTGAACTGGACTGGACTGAACTGCCCACTCCCTAGGCACTAACCACGGGAAAGCACTGTTAGCAACGGGAATCCTACAATTTTTTATACTTACTAGGTGTTACGAGTGGATGGCTTACTTTCGAGGGCAAACGACGGGAAATATAGACAGGAGAAGATGGCCGTTATGTCGAACGACGGTACGCGCAGTCGTACCGAAACGCACAAACCGGTTAGGGGAAGGTAGAGCAACATTGTCAAAACCGAACCGTTACAAACAGAGGATTAAAATTATTAAGTAACCTACAATCGAACACAATTTTCTATATATTATTATTAATAATATAATTCTTATTAATTAATCCTTTTTAAATAAAGACGATCGTATTTTCACCTTTTCGAGAAAAACAAAAATTTAGAGAGTGATTAATTTTAGTAAACTGATTTCATCTATTGAAAAGAATATATATGGGGCCCGATGGTTTCAAACCGTCGACGCTTGGTCTGTGAAGCAGATACTCTACCATTGTGCAAAACCGGCTATATGAGCTACAAGTTCTGTCTTGGTAAAGATAAGGCGGTTAGACAATAAAAAAATATAGTAATGATAAACAAAATTCATAAACCACAAATACAGACAAGTAAAATGTAAAATAGGTCGAAAAAATGCAAAAAAGGCACTCATGAAGAAACATAGGCAGAAACAAGTAGGGTTCAAATAAAAGAATTTTCATAGAAACACATTTATATACAACTTTCATTCAATTGCCTACAACAGTCATGGTACGGTTAGTAAATATAGATACGGAAAGGTACCTAATGTACACTTGTCATTTTTTAAACTGAAATATATTTTGAGACGTTTTCAAAAATTTCATGTTGTAGGTTGTATAATAAGTGATAATTTATAATTGTCACGTATCTTAAGTTCTGTATTTTACTTGAACTTACGAGCACTTATCGTGCTTGTATTTACAAGTGCGTGCTTCGAAATAATATCAACAAAACAATATAATTTCGTAATACATTTACTAACTTACAATTAATTGACAATAATGTCCTTGTTTTATTAATAATGTTAGAATTTACGGGTATTTAAAATCGACGTTTTACCCAACAATTTATTCCTGAGTAATAGCAATTTATACGACTAACTACACAGCGAAAATATAACAGCGAATAATTCTGGCTCAACTTAAAGCTACATACAGACCGGCCAACAAATGTTGACAACATGTATCTGGATACATGTTGTCAACAGTGTTGCGCGTCCAAACCAAAACCAGTTGCCCGTTCAAACCACACTCAGTCTTGATGTAAAAATGGAAGAAACTGTAGCTGCTGGTGCTAGTGCTGCGTTTATTAAGTATAATAGCTGCGAATGCCCGCAAACGAAAAAGAAGATGGTGGCAGAGAGAGTGTTTAAAAAGTGGAATAAGTCATGGCGATAACTTGATGTCGGAATTACTCCTGAATGATGGCAGCTCATTCCGCAATTTCGAGAGGGTAACGAAAACCGATTTCGAAGAAATTCTTTGTTTAGTAGCCCCTATAATTTGCAAAAAAAAAAAATACAACTTATCGTGCGGCTATTCCACCATCAATCAGATTAGCAGTTACTCTGCGATATTTGGCTACAGACGATTCGTTTACGAGTCTGATGAATTGATTTGTTTAAATTATCAAGCAATCAATTTCTTCAATTGTGCCCGAATGTGCCAACTTTCTGTCCCTGTATTCTTTACATTTAATGTCCCACAATGCAGGGGCAGCTCTCAACATTTCAATTAGCTCTAGGATGAGCTCTTTTGTCTACATCATGTTGTCCGCAAAAGATAATGATGAACTACATTATGTCCTCTCTACATTTGACAGTTTCTAGACTAAAATAAATTTGCAAAATTATTTAAAGGTCACAAAAATCATCTCTGGGTTTTCAGCCTAAAAAAAATTAACATGGGGTCGAAAATGTAACATGACAATGCCTACGACCACTTTTAGAAAGATGCACTGTATATTTTAAGAAAAGTAGTAAATGCATTTTTTAAAAACTAATATTTTTTAAATTGAACTGATTTTTTCAATTTCAATATCTTTTGTCAAGCTTTTAGTGTTGGATACTTTTAAACAATATCTAAATGTCAGGCTAAGCAAAAAAGTAAGTCATCACCGTTTTCGTCAATATAATCTATAAATCACAGAAACCCTGATAACATTTTGTTTAGATTTAATTAAAAAATACTTACACAACAAGTAGTTTTTTTCTTTTGTTATTGAGAGCGATAAAGTGCAATCACTCGAGTAGATATGTCTAAAGTGCTATTCATTTATAAAATTTAATTACTAGCATTCACGATTAAAAAATGATACTGATGCAAACCCAACATTTTACTAAAATTTGTTTATTTTTAGGGACATCATCATCTTTTTCTTTAACTGGGAAGAGATATTCTGACAGGCTTCATTTCCCAAATATTTTTCGGGTATTTTATAATGGAATAAGATAATGCAGATTTCCATTTCATTTTGTATTTGATGTACCCATAACAATATAAAATTTTAGAATTTATCTCAGATACTAAATACGTTACGGACCTCTTAGAAAGAAGAAGTACATAGAATTGTGGCATAAAGCGTAGGTATACGATCAGTTTTCAAATTCCTATCTGCTGCTGAATCTACTCCCTATAATACGCAACTCTCATGTACCGAGATGGAGCACTCGTTCAACCATTATCATCAACAGAACTCACATTGTCAACATATCAGCATTATTAACAACCGGACCACCACTGTCTCCCTGCAATTTTCAATAATGCATCCACAACAACAAAAATTAACCAGTTTACATTGCAAGTACTCTTTAGTGCATCTGTTCTTGACCATTCCATCAAATATCCCCCCTTCTCCATAACTTTCTTCACATAGACTTACCGGAAAAGTAAATAAGTCCACGTAGTTCAAAGTTGGACTGATAGCACCAACTACAACAAAATTGTTGAAAAGTGGAACATTTATCGGTGTTAAAAATTCGAATTAAGCCTGAGGCTTAATCTAGAATAAGTTATACCACATTCACCTGATACTACAGCATAAGATTTTTCACTATTTGGTTATTTAAAAGATCGAATATTACATTTAAACAAGAATTTAATCACTTAGGAATACCAAAAACTTTTTTAATAATAATACTAATAATAATAATATCATTAATAATGTTTATTACTCATTGGACAAAATCACTACAGTCAGTTGTACACGAGACGTCAAAATATTATATAAACACATATAAATAAAGAACATTACCAGATTGTAATAACTAACAAAAACACAAAATACATACAATAGGAAATGTAACAGTATTTCAGTGGAAAAATTCATCACAGCTGTATAAACACTTCTCGTTTAAACATTTTTTGACGGCACCTTTAAATATGCAAATATTCGAAGAGGACTTAATTTCTGTTGGTAAATGATTGAAAAATTTACATCCATTGTAGCTTAAAGATTTCTGAAATAAAGTTGTTTTATGCCTTACAGGGATTAAGAGGTCTATTTTGTAACTCTTAACGATCTCGCTAGAGCATCGTTAACTTACGATAATCGTTCCCATAACGATTTTGGGACTGATAGCGATTTTGTAACATCTATCGTCTCGTTACATAGCGATCGTATCGTTAGAATGTCATCGTTCCGGAACGATAGGTTTCAGCTCACCGTTAGAAGTGTCAGAACACGTTAGAAAAGTATTTATACAATGAAGAGGAACGTTTTGGTGCAAATATGGGTAGAGAAGGTAAATGTAAGTAATTAATGTATGTTTGGATTAGGTTGATAACTTATTATAGGTATATTTTTTTTACTGCAGAGACAGAATGAGAAATTTGTCTCGGGTCTTAAGAGATGTAAACGATCCCTTGATCGTTCGAGAAGAAACCTTTAGGAAGACCTACCAACTGTAATGGGAAGCGGCGAGAGATACATTTCCAGAAATACTGCCGCAGAGTTCTGTATTATTCACCAGAAGTTGCAGGAAAAATTACATACTCATGTGCTGTTTCACACAATCTTACGCATAAGAAATATCGAAAATGACGAGATCAATATTGTCTATGACAAGAAGAACGATAATAATGAAGAACTTGAATATGAAGAACACAATTTACTACATGAATGGCATATCACAAGAAATAATTTAATAATACAGCATTTTCAATAATGTATTTATTATTTTTTTTACAACATAATGAAATTATTAAACAGTTCCTCTTTCACATAGTCTTAAATTTCTGGCCTTCTTTCAAACATTGAATTTCCAATCTACAAATCTCTGGAACACACAGTGACGTTTACTTACCAGGCAGTACATTGTAATTAGAGTGCTCTATGTTATATTCTTGGTGTACTAAAAAACACAGAGGTTATGGTTTATTGTGTAACAGTATTTATAAAGATTAAACATCTCAGTTCTCATAATTGATTGGTCATGACTAAACAAGATGTTTACTTTGTCATAACCAAAGTGTTGATGTAAGCAGAATAATTGCTAATAGTTGTACGATAAATTATAGTAAAGTACACATTTTTAAAAAGAGTGTTCGGGAGATTCATTAATTACACATACCTCTCTGAACTGCTGAACACTTTTTTGTGGTCCTCCCACAGAATTTAGTTTTGCTACCAACCCTTCCCATATCTTTTCTAAAAGATCTGGCTTGTCCGCTACGAACTTTTGGGGCCTAAAATCTACATTACCTTCTAACTGCTCCACATACAACTCATGTTACTCTTGGGTAATACGCTGGGCCCTTTTACGTTTTTCCATTGCTCCCGTGAACGTATTGTAAACTGAATTTCGTGTTAGTGTGATTATTTTGATGTTTTTCTTTTATAATTATTGTTTACTTACATGTTATAAAGTTCACAAATTTGTCCAAACTTCAATCAGTAGCAAAACAAATGTCACATGTCACAACAGAGAACAACGTAATCTAGACGCTACACAAATTTAAATACTACCGATTCTAAAAACATTAGATTCATCGTTCCGCTAACGATTTCAAAGCTTTACGATTACGATAGTGTTTATAAAATTGGAAATTTGTACAATCTCGCTAAACTGATTTTACGATTGCTTCTAACGATTATCGTTTGGGAACGAGATCGTTCTGGAGCGATAAATTACAAAATAGACCCCTAAATCCTCTTTTGTACGGGTTTCATATGTATGATTTATTTTACAGTTCAAGAATTTAGACTTATGTTTATACACAAAGCAAAGAATTTCGTAAATATATGTGGCATACAAGGTTAATACAATTTACAGAAAGCGAAGTTAAAGTTAATTCGCGATTAACTTTTAATTGAGGTTCGTCGCCAGGCAACGTGCAGTTTTTAACCAATCACAGCCTCATATTCCACATTTTAATCCTCTGTTAAACTAATCGAGGATTAAATATTTAATTCGCTGTTCTATAAACCGGCCCTAAGGGCCCTAAAAGAATGTTTGCAGGAATTGCGTGGTCTTAAACCTCTTATTATACGAATTGCCCCTTTTTGTAAAATAAAAACTCTATGTGCATCTAAAGCGTATCCCCAATGTAAAATAGCATATTTCATTGCACTATGGAAACCTCCATAATACAATTGTTTTACAACCCCTTCACTACAGAGGGACCCTACTCTTGACTTCGCTGAGTTTTCTCACTGGTGACAAAAGTCATGTGTTTAATTTCACTAATTTGAATAAGTGTCTACTCTTGACAACCTGTGAGATGATAAATCTCACCTAATGAGTTATTTCACCAAAATATGTGGCAACGCCGTGGGAATTAAAATGTATCGAACAAACGAGAAGCGAATAATTGACAAGTGACAATTTTTTTTGAAGTTCGAGCGCAAAAACTTTTAATTATTGAATACAATGAAAATAACGGAAATACAGAAAGACATCTTGGTCAAATTTGTGAAAAGTAATCCAGATTTGACGTCTGGGAAGGTTTCTCCAACTTTTACAACAAAAAAGACAGAAGAGTTGTGGATAACTGTTGCGCGTGCTTCGGCTTATTCTTCTTGAGGCCCATGCACATCGTCATCAAATAATCCTTAAAATAGGTATTAAAATGTTCTGAATTGTTGTCTAGACGATTTCAGTACTATCACGAATATTAATTTCTCCCAAATCTTCAGGCGGAGGAATGTTATTTTGAATGCACAAATTGTGAAAAACACACAAGCGTTTATAATTTTTTCGGCTACTTCTGGCATATAATGTAACACTCGATCTTTTAAACAACATCTGAATCATCCTTTCAATAAAGCATGCCATCGTTCCACCAAACTTCTTACTCTCTTATGTTGTACGTTAAAACGATACATAAAGATGGGGGGAGGTACACTGGCTATATGGATACAGTCTATGCATCCTATTACTCCAGCAAATCCGAAATCGTTACAAAATCTATAAGAAAATCTTCTAGATATAATTGAAGCTCTTGGAAGTTTCTGGGAAACTTAACCATTGCATTTAAAATCTCTAGTTTATTCAATGCTTCTGTAACTTCTCGGACACTTCGGCTTACACTTTATTGGGAAATATCGATATAAGCATAGTATCCAACATCATCTGTCTGATACCAGCATAAAAACGCAAAGCTGCAACAACCTAAAAATTTTAAGTAAGTAGAACCTGCATTTTTCTTAAATGTTTACTTTTTATTGAGTACCTAATATTTTAAATGAAGGCAGTTTTGTGACAGACATACTTAGATACCTGTGTATTTACAGCTAGATTTGTCAATCTTACTTTTGGTCGCATATGTGGTTCCACCAAACTAACAATACTATAATTAAACAGTCTCTTATTAACCCTAAATAATTTGATAAATTGTTTTTCGGGCAATTCAGTTAAGGGATTGCCAGTACATCGCGAAGCAGGTTCCAAATCCTCAACATCTTCGTTTAAAATATTTTGCATTACAAAATCATCCATTTTTTAAAAAATATTTAATCACCAAAAACAAAACGAACCAAAATAGTAATAGCACACGTTAAAATATTTCAGAATGTAAAAAGCACACAAAAACATACAAATCTCTCCCAAAATGAGAAATCTCATCGAAAAAGTATCAACTGTTTAAAGTCACGCGTTTCCATGTGGATTTTCTCATCGCTGAGTTGAATCATTGTGTCAAGAGTAGACTTTTAAAAAATTTCACTAAAATCACGTCATTTTAGTGAAAAAAATCACAAATGAGAAAACTCATTCGGTCAAGAGTAAGCTCCCAGGCTTATAGTCATACGTAAAGCGTAACAAGTTTTTGCAAGTTTAGCACATAAGTAATCTATATGCCCAAACCACCGCAAATTTGTATCTATAATCAATCCAAGAAATTTTGTTTCTGGGACACAGCTTATATTGTCATTATTATTTATCTTGATTACTTCAACGGGCTCAGTATTTGAATTTGAATTTTTAAAAACTAAGCAGTTTGTCTTACTTTTGTTAATGACTAAATGGTTATGGTCGATCCAAACAATCAATTTACCAAATATATCTATTATTACTGATTTAACTTCTTCCATAGTCTTACATCTCACTAATAAATTTGTATCGTCTGCATATGAGACGGTTATGCTATGTGTACTAGATATATATCTAAACAAGTCGTTTATGTACACATGAACAAAGTTGGCCCTAATATTGATCCTTGAGGGACACAAAGATTAACTGGTTGCTTTGAAGACATAACATTTTCCACTTTTACGCATTGCTGTCTGTTGCTCAGATAGCTACAAAACCATTTTAGAGCTACACTTCTTACACCACACATCTCAAGCTTCGCTAAAAGTATTTTATGATTGACGAAAGATGAAAGCTTTAGTGCAGTCTACAAAAACACCAACGGCTATTTGACCTTTATCGAATGCAGAGATTACAGAACTGATATATTCGTCTAATGCTGTGTCTATACTTTTATTTTTGGTAAAACCATGTTGACTTGGTGACAATATATTATTTTTTATTAAGAAATTTATAAATTGCTCGTTAACCGCTAGCTCAAAAATCTTTGATATACTCGTGCATGAACTAATCGCTCTGTAATTAGCAATATTGTAGGGGGATCCTTTTTTAAGGAGCGGTATCACATTTACCGTTTTTAGCCTATTTGGAAATACACCCGTTTGCAGTGATAAATTCAATACGTGTGTAAGAGGTTTCACAATATGAGGAGCTATTCTTTTTAACATAACATTAGACACATTGTCGTCACCTACTGCGTTCGAATTTTTTAATTTTTTTTGTTAAATATAGTATATCTTCCTCAGACACTCCTTGTAAGAATAATGAATTACGGCAACTTGGGCAAGTTTCTTTTAAAAATGATAAATTAGGAGCATTATTTTTCGAAAGATGTGCCGTAGGGGTTTTTGGGGTGGATATGAAAAAATCATTGAACAGTTCTGCGGCCTCACTATTACTTAAAATATTATCGTTGTGAATTATCTTGACACTACCCTTTTTTTGTATTTTTGCCGATAGATTTGTTAATTACGGACCAAACTGCTTTGTTTTTATTTTTTGCTCTGTTAATTACTAAGTCATTAGCTGTTTTTTGGTTACTAGTTAAGGCACTTTTGTATTTTTTGTTTGCACTAATGTATAAGGGCTTAAATTCCGTATACATCCTGCTTAGGTCTCCATAAAGCGAAACTTTGTCTTTGAGTTCACGTATTAATGGCGTTGGTATTTTAACATTCTTACAGTCGATAGTGTTACGACGGATTTTCTGATATGGAAAACATGAGTTAAAATCTTCCAAAAATATATCTAAAAACAAACTAAAAGCATCGTCACAATCATATGTTGATAATACAGAATTTCACTTATCATTGGCTAACAAATTACAAAATATGTTTATTCAATTTTGGCATGTAAACAAACGTTTATTTTGCCGTCAGTAGGCCACTAAAGCTTTGGTTTATCCGGTAGCACCATAAAATTTTTTTTCTATTCCCACATAGTAATCCATGAATTACGAACTGTCTAGCCTCATAGTAAAACCATAGTTACACCCACTGGCATGTAATGAATGAACAGGCACGTAATATATATATATTACGTGCCTGTTTGAATAGTTTCCATAGCAATTATAAATATTTGCTTTCCCAAAAAAAATTCTTCTGAAAGTGATTCTTCATTATAGATCGTAGAAAAAGTATATGACACAACTCTGGTGGTAAGCTAATTACGAACTCATATTACATCACTCGCTCGCTACGCTCGCTCGTGTATAAACTTCGTTCGTAATTAGCTTCTTACCACCCTCGATTTGTAATATACTAATTTGCGCTGCCATAGTTGTAATTGACATTTTACGTTGACACGTGGCGTGTCGTAATGGCAATGAAAAAGGATCTAGCGCCGCAAAATACAAACGAGGAATTTAAGCTTTGAAAAAATAAATTGATTATCACAAAGTAATTACTACTAATTGATAATCATGTATCTAAAGTTATTATAACAAAAAGTGGCTCGAAATTTTAAAAAAGCGCAATTTAAGTTGTAATCTTAAATAGGGGAATTTGTTGATCAAAATTTGGATTTGTAGTAATTTGACAGTTGACACTATTCGATGGTTTGGTTTATGTTGTTGACAACTATTATGTTATTACTATTTGTTAGTAGTTCTTGTTAATTAAAAAAACCGTTTAAACTTGACGTTATTCGCAACCTCACGCTGAATCATAATCACAAGATTCTCTCTGATCTGGAGCCGTAAATAAAAATGTTTCCACTGGTAAGTATTTCAGACTTCTTGGGCTTGTGTCATTCTGCCGCTTTAAAAACGCTGTTAACTTATAAAATTTCGAATGATTTATATTATGTTTGATGCCAAGAGTGCTTTTCAGAACTGAATGTATTGTCCACAGTGTGGAGGCTTTCATGATTTCCGACTTAATTTGGAAATAAACCAAGAGCGTCGTTTCAGAAAATTCGCGTATTTTATTTTCTTCGCACCACTTGATGAATTTTTGATATTCGGCTTCATATGGACCTGCGGATTTTGCAGGCAACAAATTTGCAGTTGCTTTATCTGCAATTTTCTGAATACGTGCACGATTTTCCATTTCAACTTTGAAATTCAAAATCTAGACCGGACAAATTGACAGATTGGTATTTGAC